ATGTCTGAGCGGAGGTTCCAAAAGAACAGAATAAATTGTTTGTGTATGCTACGACAGCTGTTCAGATATTGCTACCCCAAAGATGGATAGAGGAAGCAGTCCCGACCAAAGAGGATTGGAAAACCAAGTTCATGGACTATGCTGAAATGGTGAAATTAACTGGAAACCTCAGAAACCAAGATGATCAGAAATTTAAAAAAGAATGGGAAATTGTCAGGGAACTGACATCGGAGCCTGAGGCGGAGGGAAGGCTCTCAAATGATGCTGGAGAAGGGCCAAGCAGGGAGAAAGGCAGTTCAGCAGAGGGGGAAGCAAATCAACGCAACACCAGGGATAAAGGGGGGCAGATGGGGGAATCAGCGAGAGGGCTCCAGGACTCTTCACCGGACACCAGCGGGGAGAGCACGGGTCCTCCGCTACCCACACCCTCCCTGCGCAGAAGACTTCCACGCAGGGAGAGTAGGAGGAGACTGGGCGTCAAACAACTTTTATGTTGGAAGAGGTTTAAGAAACGCCCACTGATGGATTCTGCTAGCGACTGAGGCAGCCACGAATTGAAGGGCTGTCCAGACAGAAAGGTTTAACAAGGCAACATAGCCAGGAGAGGCGGCAACTTACGCACGAGCAACCCCATACCCATTATAGAAATGTTTATTATATGTTTACAAAAATATTGTAAACTTCTTAATACATTGGCAGGATTTTAGAAACACTTGTAATTTTAGAGATGGTACAGGAAATTTGTGGTTAAAATAGAAATTTGGAGTAGAAATGATATGCAGTTTTTTTTAAAAAAAAAACTTTAAGGAACCAAGGGAGGAGGAAGAGGGAAGTCACGGGATTAGGATAATCTCATTTTATGGATATGTTACTGTTTTGATGCAATTCCCCCCTCTTTTTTTTTTTTTGTTTGTTGTTGTTTATTTGTGATGTTTGCTACATTTGCAGAAAACCCAATTAAAATATTAGAAAAAAGAAAATATTTTCTAATTTGTTATCCATGCCTGCAATTCAGCAATGACTTCATGAGGGATCAACTGACATAAGGTCATACCTGTGTAACTGGAGACGGCACTCCCATGTTTCTTCATTCATTGTCCTTGCTCAGAACACAGCAGTGAGATAACTATGCCATGTGTTGGCACAACACTTCATTTTTCTTTCTTTTACTGTGTAATAGCACATAACATACATTATAGAGGGCATTGCAGCACTAAAGATCTGGAGTCCAACAACGGCAAACAAAACGACATCATACATTTTAACTGAAGAGAAATCATTTCAACATAAAAGGTGATATCCAATGTTACCCATACACAGGATACAGTACACTTATTTATGAAAGGGCTATCTAAGATATCTAGCTGTAACAGGGACACTTCTTTAAAACGTATGTTTTTACAATGTCCTATACTGGTAAATTTTTGGTAGAGGATAATAGTGGTGATCAACCCAACCGTACGGAATAATCTTAAACTTGCTGAAGAAAATATCCTTCTGAATCAGATATCCAGTACTTGGAACTTAACAAAGTGACAATATGAATGGATTCTCCACATCCTTACTAGGGCAAAAAGACAGGTATTGATGAGCCTCCGGGTTTGGGGCGGTATATAAATTCAATAAATAAATAAACTGGAACAAATAAAAATGCATCTCCCTTCAACGAATGGATAGAAGATTAGTGCAAACTCTCAACACAGGAACTAATCACGTATAGATGTAGATTTGCCATGGACACACACACAAAAAAAATGGAATTCAATTTTTTAAACACTGCATTAGGTTAAATGTGGGTTAACTGCAAAAACAATCTTGTAATGTTTGTAAATTCTGTTTTTTATTGTATATGAATCTTATTTCTTACACACACACACACACACACACACACAATCTTTCAAAAAAGAATATATTTTTTAAAAAATAGACAGAATACATATGAACAAACGACTGCAATATACTGAACCAGACTATTAAACTCAGTATTGTCTACACTGAGAGGCAAGGTCTAATCAGGGGTTCAGACAGAGATTTCAGAGTTGGACATACTAGGGCAGAGCTTTCCAAACTGTGTGTCATGACACGTTAGTGCAGGCATCCCCAAACTCAGCCCTCCAGATGTTTTGGGACTACAACTCCCATCATCCCTAGCTAACAGGACCAGTGGTCAGGGATGATGGGAATTGTAGTCCCAAAACATCTGGAGGGCCGAGTTTGGGGATGACTGCAATAGTGTGTCAGCTACAGTGTGTAGGTGTGTCGCGAGAATGCTCCCCATGCTCCTCCTGGGGCTGGAAATGGGTTAGTTTAACCTTTGGCTTGCTAGTGAAACTGAATTACTGTGTTGCGAAATGATGCATGTCTAAAAAGTGTGTCAGCAACGCGAAAAATTCGGAAAAAGAATAGAGGATGATCATCTTTCTGCAGGTCCAATATAGCAACAAGTGACTGTAAGCATAATTCTGAACACAAATAATATGCACATGACTCCAAAGTTTGTGAACTATTATATGATCTCCTAGAACACAATGTAAGAAAGATTTATATGACCTAAAGAGAATCCCCAAGAATACGACGTGGTGGCAAACTTTGGTGACACTCCTTCACTCAATGTCTTTTCCAACGCCTCTGAATCATTCGCAGGAAACACTTTGAATTTTCTGACCAAAATAGGGGGATGATGGCAGTCCATTCAAAAACTCTCTTACAAGTTTAAGAATAGCTTCTGAGCAGTTACGAGGAACCTATTAGGAATTTGAAACCTGCCTTATTGTAAGATGAAGTGAGAAACACTGTCAAGAACTTCTACTCTGATTTTTATGTTTGTGTAAATAGTGTGTATCATATAATGTGTACACTGTAAGGATATACTGTATGTTTTCTGCCGTCACAAAGATCTATTCTGGTAGTTGGTGTGGTCAACATATGTGCCTTCCTTCTGTACCAGAGGCCACAAATGTGCATCTGTAGAGCCCACTGAAGACAGATGGCAGTGCAGAACCAGCCCTCCTCCAAATCTGACTTCCAATTTCATTTAGCATTCACCTCGCCATTCTAAAATCAGTTAGGATTCATAGCAAGTATGATTTGCCAGTGAAAAAAGATGTATCATCTCCTCTAATATATGCTTGGCAAACAACAGCAACCTTAATTGTTGCCAATTGATTAATTTTCTGTAGAATTTAAACATTAAACTATGACAATCTGGCATTAGGTTTTAACGGAGCATCTCACACCGCTGGTTGCATTTGAACAGCTTGGTATTCCCTTTAAAAGAGACATATGGTATTTTCAGCGGTTCTAAAATGTAATCCAGAGAAATATCAGTAAACATTCCGTGGGTACCAGAACATGCCAATTTACCGGGGAGAACATTGCGGCTCAAGCCAATCCTTGCAAAACTGGGATGCTAGCACACCTTGGCTTCTGACCCAGTAGCTGATGTCTATTACCAACTTCTTATGGGCCACATCAGGTGATTGTGGGCCAATGTTCAGGAAAAAGCCAAACACTAAATAGCTTTTCCCTGAGATTTACAAGAGTGGTTTCTTCTTGACTTTTTCAGTGCTGAGCTATTCCTCTGCCATCTCTGATCTCTTTTTCAGCGGAAAAGTACCTATTCATAGAACCGTATACATTCTATGGGGTTATTAACAATATGCACTGCGGTGGCAATTTACCACCAAAGCAAATGTTATTTACAGCATAATGGCATGTTAATGCTAAAGGCAACAAAGGCAGATTCTTTGTAAGTCTCAGAAGTAAATTTCTTGTTTATATTTGTTTGCTTGTTTTTAAGATAGAGACTTGAATGCAGAATACAATTTGGACTGGAATCTGGAGTGGGTAACCTTTTCTGATGGAAGGGATACATTGATCCATAATTAACCATCAGGGGGCTGCAAGTCAGAGTTCACATACCTGAAGTGTAAAAGTGAGTGTAAACTGTTTAAAAAGAAGAAGTATATTTTAAAAACAAATCCATCTTTCTTTGAAGAAAAAGGGCAGAGTTTTTCTGGGAAGAGCACAAAATATTGGACACCACAGCACCACAGCAGGGCAGTTATAGACGAAGCCAGGGGGGGGGCAAGCTTTTGGGAGCCACAAAAGAACTTTTTGCTTCATGGCATCATAGTGGGGTCCCTATAAGAGCAGCCATAAAAAATTAATAAATGAAATGAAATTGCGCTCCCTATGACAAATTTTGGGAGTCTTTGGGGCCACAAAAACCTCTTTGTGAGAGGATACATATATATATGGGCTGTGAATTAGTCATCCTCATTAGATAACTCAATGTGTGAGAATACATGTATAGGATTACGCAGTTAAAGAGTATCTGAGGTATCTGTGACATAATTTTTTTTGATTAAGCTCCTTTCTACTGGTGATGCAATTAACTCTAGTCTTCATGGAAGGTGTGTTAGGTATGGAACTTACCTTTCCCCCTATGGCAAAGAGTGCTTCCTCACTCGTTTAAACTGCTGCATTATCTGTGTCCTTTCTTAGATAAAGATAATTTGGCTGCTATGACACATGTATCCATAACTTCACATTTAGACTATTGTAATGGGCTCTACACAGTGCTATTTTTCTAGAAAAAAAGGTTCCAGAACTCACCATGAATGCCTCTCTCTTTCTTGTGGAATGGCAATGGCACCCACCTGAGATATGCCGGAACTGATTTCTGGTGAGTTCCCCCTAAAAAGCCCTGGCTTTATGTAAGGCTTTCATTATGACTAGTCAGGAGGCTGCAGCTCATGCAGAATGCTATGGCCCAGATCCTGAGTAGTGCTCTCATCAGGGTGGCATCATACCAGTGCTAAGATGTGGACCAGTTTTATGAACTCATTAGCTGTATACAAAGCCCAAGACAACTCTGGACCTGGTAACCTTCCTCTCCATTGCTTGGTAAAGGCATTAAGATCAACAAAAAGAATCTGGTTAGTTTTGCCATGGCCTGATGATTATTGGAAGTGGGCTTCTTCATTGCTGGCACCTGTTGTCAGGGAACTGCCATCGGACGGAAGGGAGGTGAAAGGGCTCACACAGGTTGGGAGAGACGCAGCAGCTGAAGAGGGAACCAGCAGGGAGGTGAAAGGGCTCACACAGGTTGGGAGAGACGCAGCAGCTGAAGAGGGAACCAGCAGGGAGGTGAAAGGGCTCACACAGGTTGGGAGAGACGCAGCAGCTGAAGAGGGAACCAGCAGGGGGAGAGGAGCTGAGCTGGAGGGATGGCTCAGAGACACTTCCAGCGAAAACAGTGGGGAGGTTTCAGGACCTCCTGTAAGAACACCCACTCCTCGCCGGAAACTGTCACGCAGAGATTCCAGAAGACGTGTTTCCGTTAAGGAGCTTTTATGTTGGAAGCGATTACGAAAGCAACCACTGTCGGAATCTGCTAGTGACTAGAGTAGCCATGTCTGAGGGGCTCCGTCACAGACAGAGGTTTGTGGACTTGAACAAACTCTGAGGGGATACGATTTTACGCACAAGCAGCTCATCATCCCATCACAGCATTCCGACAGTCTTTGAAAGCAGCTTGTGCAGGAGAAGGCATCATGAGCAACCCAGCCGGAACCGGAGAAGCAGGAGCTGGAGCGGGTCCAAGCCTGGAAGAAAGGTACCAGATGTTGGAGGTCCAGCTGGCGATGCAGACGGCGAGGCTTGAGGAGAGGAGGGCTCAGGATGCAGACAAAAAGGGGAAAGCCACCCAGTTCGCCAGAAAGGTACCAGGATTGGTGCAGAAGTTTGGGGGGGGAGCCCAAAAACTATCATGGCTTTCGGACAGAAATGCAATATGCCCTCAATCTGCAGTTTGATGAATTCCCTGACGAGGAATCACGAGTGGCTTTCGTGATTGAGCATCTTGAAAAGGGGGCGAGAGACTGGGTTAGACCCCTGATGGCAGCAAATAGTGACGTCTTAAAGGACACGATGAAGTTCTTTCGCGCCATGGATCTGATGTTTTCCAGCGATATTGAAAAGGGAGTGGTGCGCAGACAGTTAATGGGTTGCAAACAGGGGAGCCGATCTGTCCGTGAGTACTGGACTGAGTTCACCATGCTTGTTCACAGATTGGGGTGGGACTTATCGGCGGAACCCATTCAAATGCTCTTTGAAGAAGGGCTTTCTTCGGCTGTGAAAGACGAACTTTCCCGGGCGCCCAGGGCGGAGTCTATGGACCAGCTGACCAAATCAGCGCTGGCCATAGGAGCGCGCCAGGAGGCGAGAGCATTGGAGAGGCGGGAAGGGAAAGGGGAACGTTGGAAGGAGTTCCGCATTCCAGACATTCCAGAGCCAACTTTCCCACCGGCAGAGCCGATGGAAATCGGAACAGCAGCGCGCGCGCAGTTTCAAAGCCCAGTGAGGGGGCAAAGAAGGAGGGAAAAGGCGCCCGGAAATGCTATCTCTGCCAACAGCCAGGTCACTTTGCCAGAGTCTGCCCCCAGAGGAAAGAATGGCAAGGGATGGTAGGAGCTGTGGATGGAAGAGAGGAAGAAATACCGGAGCAAGTAAAAGCCAACGCCTGGCTGCCACTGTCAGGGCACAGCAGCCAGGCCAAAGAGCAGTGAGAGTGCCCACGCCAGAACCTCCTAAACCCGCCCTAGTGATAGAAGTGACGCTAGAGCTGCCAAACGGACACCCTCTAAAGATAAAGGCGCTGTTGGACTCAGGCAGCTCCTGCAATTTCATGAGCAAAGAGTTTGCAGCTGAACACCAGATACAGACAATCCTTTAAGCAGCCCCCTGCAGGTGACCACGATCGATGGCAGGGAGCTGTTGGGTGGAGAAGTCAGCTTGCAGACCGTCCCAATGATAATGAAGGTAGCAAGGCACACCGAACTGATAGCTTTTAATGTGGCCACCTTGGGAGGAGCTCCCATTATATTGGGGATGAGCTGGCTAGCGTTACATGATCCGCTGGTGGGCTGGCATCAGAGAGTGGTTTCTTTTGGTTCAGCACATTGCTTAGAACACTGCAAAGAGGGAAAGGGTTTGGCAGGGGTCCAAGCCACCCTAGCAGGGACTGAAGTAACAGAGAACGTGAAGGTACCACGACAATATGCAGATCTCCGTGACGTCTTCAGCGAAAGGGAAGCTGACCAACTACCCCGCATAGACCCTTTGACTGTCAAATCAACTTACTCCCTGGAGCACAGCTCCCTGTAGGCAAGCTGTACGCCATGTCAGACAGAGAGATGCAGGAGTTAAGAGAGTTCATTGACAAGAACCTGAAGAGAGGGTTCATCAGAGAGTCCAGGGCGGTGGGGGCAGCCCAGTGTTTTTGTGGATAAGAAAAACACGAACAAGCCGAGGCTGGTGTGTGACTTCAGGGCCTTAAATGCAGTGTCAGAACCAGTAGCCTTCCCTATGCCCAGGATTGACGACATTTTGACAAGGGTGCGGAAGGGAAAGATTTTCACAAAGCTGGACCTAAGGGGGGCGTACAACCTGGTACGAATAAGGAAGGGGATGAATGGAAAACCACTATGTTCACCCCTTTAGGGGCATTTGAATATTTGGTTATGCCCTTCGGCCTACAAGCAGGCTCCGCAACATTTCAATCGTTTATGAACCACGTCCTGGGGCCTTTGCTTTACAAGAATTGTGTGGCCTTTTTAGACGACGTGTTGGTGTATTCTGAGAATGAGGAGCAGCATGTGAGAGACGTCAGAGAAGTGTTGAGCAGGCTGCAAGCCAACCAGCTGTGGGTGAAACTGGAGAAGTGTCAGTTTCATACCAAGGAGGTGGAATTCCTGGGGTATCGCCTGTCAGACAAGGGATTGGCCATGGATCCCGGCAAGGTCCAGGCGGTGCTGGAATGGAAAACACCCAAAACAAAGAAGGATGTGCAGAGGTTCCTAGGATTTGGGAACTTCTATCGTAAGTTCATCCGAAACTTTGCCCACCTGACGGCGCCCATTACGGACTGTCTCAGCAGTAAGAAGAAGTTCGTGTGGACTGAGGAGGCGGAGCGAGCATTTGAGGAACTAAAAAGGGCCTTCGCCTCGGAACAACAACTCCTGCATGTGGATTTACAAAAACCGATGAGAGTGGAAACTGACGCATCAGACAGAGCGATTGGGGCGGTGCTTCTGCAGCCAGGCAAGAAGGGGTCAGAGTGGAGACCGTGTGCCTTTTTTTCGCGAAAGCTGAACAAATCCGAGAGGAACTACACGGTGTATGACCGAGAACTACTAGCCATTCATGAGGCGTTCAGGAGATGGAGGCACCTGCTAATTGGCGCACAACATAAGGTGCAAGTGTGCACTGACCACAAGAACCTAGAGTATTGGAGGACGGCACGAGTGCTCAACCAACGGCAAGTGAGATGGGCCCAGGAGTTCTCCAAATTTAACTTTGAGATTAGTTACGTGCCAGGCCCAGAGAACATTAGGGCGGACGCTCTCTCACGCAAACCTGAATATTTGGAGGGGAGGGGCACCCGAAGAGAGACATGTCATTCCAGAGGACCGCTGGGTGTGTGGGGCGGCATTGGTGGGACAAAGAGAACTGGTAGAGGAAACAGAGAATGATGAATACGCCCAGAATAAGCTCAGAGGTCTTAGGGGTGATGGAGAGGAACCAGGGGTTTCGAGGAAAGAAATGGAGCTTTGTATTACAAAGGGGCACTGTATATCCCTGAAGGAGAGTTAAGGGGAGGGTACTCAAGCAGTTGCACGACAGCCCTACGGCGGGGCATTTTGGACAACACAAAACCATGTGGTTGGTCACCAGGGAATTTTGGTGGCCTAAGGTGAGGGAAGATGTACGTGAGTATGTAAGAGGGTGCGAGCAATGTCAGCGAGCCAAAGGGGAAAGGCGGGCGCCGGCGGGGCTATTAGAACCCTTACCAACCCCAGAACGACCTTGGGAGGCAGTGTCGATAGATTTTATGACTGATCTGCCGAAGTCCAAAGGGAAAACAGCCATCATGGTGGTGGTAGACCTACTAACAAAGATGTGCCACTTTGTAGCTTGCTCGCATGCAGTCACGGCGGAAGAGACAGCGAAGTTATTTGTAGAACACATTTTTAGGTTGCACGGGGTGCCATTGAGGGTGGTCTGAGACCGAGGAAAACAATTTACTTCCAGGTTCTGGAGGAAGCTCATGAGCTTACTGCAGGTGGAGGTCACTTTTTCGACTGCGCGGCACCCTGAAACCAACGGGCAGGCGGAAAGAGCAAACGGTGTCCTCCAGCAATACCTGAGGTGTTATGTCAATGACAGAGAGAATGACTGGGTAGAAAAGTTGGCGCTGGCGGAATTTGCCTACAACAATGCCGAGAATGTGTCCACAGGGATGAGCCCCTTCTTGGCTAATTATGGGTGTCATCCCAGGGCTTTCCCAGGGGGGAGATGGGGAGAGATGGAGCGTCCCGGCAGCCGAGCATTTTGTGGAAGAAATGGAAGCAATCCATAGTCAGCTCCAACTCAACTTAGAAAGGGCGAAGGAAGAATACAAGAGGCAGGCAGACAAGAACCGAAGGGAAGGTGAAACCATAAGGGTGGGAGATAGGGTGTGGCTGTCAACCCAAGGGTTGCCGTTCAAAGGAGGTTGTAAGAAATTAAGACCCAGGAGGTTGGGTCCCTTTGAGGTCATTCAACAGGTCAACCCAGTGGCTTTCAGGCTCCGGTTACCCAACCACATGAAACTGCACCCAGTATTTCACAGGTCGTTACTGTCACCGTACGAAGGGGGACGAGAAGGGCTGGCCACTCGGGGACCGGTCGTAGAAGAAAGAGAATGCAGCAGCCATGTGGCAGAAATCCTCGACGCCAGGTGGAAGGGGGATCAGGTGGAGTATTTGGTAGCGTGGGAAGGAGAACCGGAGTCAGAAAACACTTGGGTAATGGCTGAAGATATCAATGACGAGGTATTGATAGAAACGTTCCATCAAAGGTTCCCAAGGAAACCTCAGCCTGTGGAGAGGTTCCGGAGGGAATACTTTGGGACCACTGATGAAGGGGAGGAGTTGGAAGGATTCCCGGACTCGGAAGGGGAAGGGGAGATGGACTCTGAGGAGGAGGTGTACTTCGAGACCAGGAACCGCAACAGGTTGAGAGAAGTGTTCGAGACATCGGAAGATGAAGGAAGTTCATTCCGGGGTTTTGCCTCCTCACCGCCCGTAGAGGAAGGGGCGAGAGGGGGTGAAGGGGGCCCTGGAGGGGAGGTGGATGTCAGGGAACTGCCATCGGACGGAAGGGAGGTGAAAGGGCTCACACAGGTTGGGAGAGACGCAGCAGCTGAAGAGGGAACCAGCAGGGAGGTGAAAGGGCTCACACAGGTTGGGAGAGACGCAGCAGCTGAAGAGGGAACCAGCAGGGAGGTGAAAGGGCTCACACAGGTTGGGAGAGACGCAGCAGCTGAAGAGGGAACCAGCAGGGGAGAGGAGCTGAGCTGGAGGGATGGCTCAGAGACACTTCCAGCGAAAACAGTGGGGAGGTTTCAGGACCTCCTGTAAGAACACCCACTCCTCGCCGGAAACTGTCACGCAGAGATTCCAGAAGACGTGTTTCCGTTAAGGAGCTTTTATGTTGGAAGCGATTACGAAAGCAACCACTGTCGGAATCTGCTAGTGACTAGAGTAGCCATGTCTGAGGGGCTCCGTCACAGACAGAGGTTTGTGGACTTGAACAAACTCTGAGGGGATACGATTTTACGCACAAGCAGCTCATCATCCCATCACACCTGTGTTGTGAAATATTCTCCTTGTCGAAATACAAAAGACCCATCAATATTGGCATGCTACTGGCTCTTGAAAACACACCTGTTTAGCCCAGCATTTTCCTGATTTCTGGACTTGAACCTCCTTTTGTGATTGCTGCTTTTACTGACATGCTTTTTTAACAGATTTATTTGTTTTATATGTTAATTATGCATGCTTTAATACTTTGATGCAGTTTTATATTGTATTGTAATTATGGGTAGTGCTTTTATCATGCATTTTATGCTTAGTATTTTGTTGTTGACGTTTTGTTTGTTTGTTAACCACCTTGTTATTTTCTTCTTGAAATATAAGTAGTATATAAATGCTAATGACAGCAGCTACGAACACTGCTTTATATGCTTAGTTAACTTTATTGCAGCATTTCAGGGCTTTGGATAAAGTGGCTGAACTGCACCCAACCCTCCACCCACAGCTCTCAGGATTGCACAGTAAACTGACAGAATTAAAACAATTCTATGTGCAACAGATAATTGCAGCAAAAATTGCTGCAAAAAGACTTTCCATGGAGAGATTTATGGCTTTGTCAATGTCCTTCGAGTCTCCCACGTGATGCACACCTCCCTTCATGGTTAAAAAGTAATCATGGGAATGCTCAGTGCAATTTGTGAAAAATTGAAGAGGTTGATATGAGCACTGCAAGAGCATCAAAGGGACATGAAAACAAAATTGAATGTGTGTGGTGTCTGTCCATCAAACACTCTTTCTTGTTGTGCATTGCTTCAGAAAATGGATCCCTTCCACAACAAGATGGCTATTTCCCACTTGTGCTGCTGCATATTCCCCAAAAAGACTAAGGAAAACCTGTCAGAGAAGCTTGCTAAATTGGAATATACAGGAAGCATCTTGTAACGATCCACAGTTTTTCAAGGGACTACAATGAAATGTTGTCTATTCATGCATAAGTTACTGCTGGAAGTGTAAAGCTATCTGGCAAATATTTCAGCTATTGTAGTTGATAAAGGACTGAAGAACAAAAACACTGCATAATGCTTGGGAGTGTATCTTGGGCAGGGGGAGCGGGGATAGAGGAAATGCTTTTAGTATGTATTCTCTTTGCAAACTTAAGATGGGTGCTCAGACAGAAGAGCTAAACTGTTCCGTGATGTGGTTCCTTAAGTACACACTTAACCATGGTTGAATAGATATTTTATGGGGATGTTTGGTATTCAAATTGCTTTGCGAATGTATCTGCACTGTGTTGTTGGTTTTTTTTAATAAAAAATGTTTTGTGAGGCTTAAAAGAAGACTAGAAAGGGATGACAACAGGACATGTGTGTTTGTGAAATTAAACAAGAGAGAGATATACGCATTCGAAGGTGTACGATACCTTTGAAGACAGCTGAACAATTTCTCCAAAAATTGAAATGTGGTTTATGTGATTAGTCTGGCAAACCGACATTTGATTTAAAAAAATTTGTCATTTGAGTACTTGATTACAGCAATAATAAAAGCTAATCGCCTGTAATCCAATAGAAAATAATTGTAGAAGAGATAAGCCATTCAAAAATACAAATGTTGCACTGAGAAAGTTTGGTGTGATCATGGCCCTGTATTAATTATTATATAACTTGCAAAATGAAAAGACAAGTGATTTTGCTGCTATCCAAAGTGTAGCCATAGTCTTGAATCTATAGTATAAACATCTCGAGCCAGGCTTTAATGAGAGAGAAATCATAAAATGAATTGTTACAGCTATGTTGGTAGGTAAGAATCCATTGAGAAACTTAGCTTGTAATTGAACATTCTTTGGTCCCTACAAAAATTTCACAACCTACACTATTAAGGTATAGGACTATTATCGTTCTGTGTAAGTTCACTCTGAGTGCCACCAAATTATGTTTTGAGTGGATTTTAGTGACAATTATATGGAGCATATTTAATTGTATAATCCATAAATAAACTTTTATTGGTCAACATTTATCCTTTTATCTTTAAAGTGAAACATGAGTAGAAAGGTAAACATTAAAAAAAAATTTCCTCCAATTCTAGTTGATTTTGGAAGTTAGAAAATAGAAAACACACACACACAGAGGAGCCTGACCTTCAAGGATATACCAATTCCAGCATCAAAATAATCACTAACTTCAGATTTTACTTGCATAGAGTTTTACATATTATTCCCTTCAATCATCTCGTTCCTAGGTAATGGGTGGCCTTTTCCCAGTGTCTCATTTCCAAGAACTGAATGCCTAGTATCAGCCAAACACCATCTTTAAGCATTCAGACAGCCCGTCAAAGCCCAATATCAAATAGCACTGCACCAAATGACCTGTCAGAGTTCTTCTTGGAGATTCTGAAAGGTGGTGTTTGTGTTCATTACAACTGATTTAGAAGGAACAGTTCGCAGAATTTTAATGATCCAAGAACTTAATCACAAGTTTCTACAGGAGCCATTTTGTGCAGCATACCGCTCCTTCAATCTGACAGTTTCTAGCTGAAGAAACTGGTTGCCAAATGACAGTCATTGCAATCACAACAAGCAACCACAGCTTAATGCTTTTACATGGTGTGATTTCTAAATGCTTGTCGAATTTGTCAAAACGTTATCCTCAGAAGAAAATGCATGCATGGAAAAAATAAAATAAAATCCACGTTTGTTGCATCTTTTCAGTCCCCTACCAATTTCTTAAAACACAGCCACTTCTTGAAATGGGCTCATGGTGATTTCATAAGCTTAATGAAATCTCTTACACAAAACCACAGTCCTTGAGTTAACTAGGTACAATAGCTACAAACATGGTGGAAATCCATTGGGTTATATCCAGTGGTGTTGTTCAGCTGACAGTGAGGCTTCTATCAATGGCAATGGAAGTGAAGCAATTTCCCCATCCCTCTGCAGCCAATGTATCTCTAAATCTGATTCAGAGGACCCACCCATCCACAGCATGATGTAGTATAGTTCAGTGGAGGGGATGGAGGGGCTTCAGGTGATGGAGGAATAATAAAAAATGCTTTCTCTCTCATTCCACTGATGGAAGCCTTAACATAAGCTGAGCAACACCATTGGATAAATACATAAACCATTTCATTTTGCTTAAAGGACATTTAGCAAAAATGTTGAGGTGAAATGATATGAACTCAGGTACTACTGCTGTACTACTATTACTATTATTACTATTGAGAAGTGGAACACCAAATGCCAGTTATTACCATTGGTCATGGTTGGGTCAGAGAACAGTCTCTGGGGGGAAAGGTGAACACTGATGATAGCTATAATGTGCTGTATCTTACAAATGAATTTTGTTGACATGATGTATTTGATTTAAAATAGAGACCTTCCTCGCCATTACCTGAATACAGCTGGCAAATAAATACAGGAATTATCAATTACCTAAATATATGGGCTGTGGCTCAACTAACAAAAGTAGTTGTCCCCAGAAGAAAACCCCCGAATTGTTTTCAGAATTGAGAACTGTTTGCTAGATATCTAAATAGATTAACGGACTATCAAATCTGATCTTTTTTTGTACAGTGTACTATTCATCGTTTTGTTCTGATTATTGTGGTGAATTAATTTGAACGGAGAAAAGGAATTACCTCACATTCTGAGGTAATATGAGAACTATGTCTGTGCTGTTTTACCTGCAATCCACAGAAGGCTGCCATCAGAGGTCAGCAGGTCAGTGTTGCTGGTATCTGCTAAAACCTAGGCTCCTGCTGATCTCCAGAGTCCTGTGGTCCTGCTCTTCTTCCTTGTTCTTGCTGCATATTCATCTGCCCTATGCAAGCTGTAACAATAGCAAAGAGAAGGAGGATGAACCTTTTATTGGCCTTGGTGGGCCATGCACAGTGTGTGCATGCGTGTGAATGGGCAGTGGTGATTGTGGCAAGGAGGTAGGTGGCCCCACTGAGCAAAACTTGCCCAAGGATTACACAAAACCCAGAGCTTGCACTGCACATACATCCCCTTCTATATTATGCTAACCACCCATAGATTTTGAAGGGAAAGGTAACATATTCTCTCAGTTAATTAAAACAATTGTAGTGGTGTTTTTAATATCATTATTTAAAAGATGTATACCACCACCACACTACCCTTAGCTATGATTACGATCAGGCCAGGTAACAATACAAAAACTGGTTAAACAATCTCTTTCACTCTCAGTGACAATGCTCATTTCCTTTTATGCATGAGATCATTTCACAATTACTAATAGGATAAAAGTGGAGAGAGACCCTGAGTAATCAGATACAGAGGAAGAATAGGAAATTAGAAGAATACAATTCAATATACAATTCAGCATATCCCCGCTAGTCAGACGTCTCTGGATCACAGCATGTGAGAGGAGGCTCAAAGAACAGTCACCAATAATTGCTCCTTCCTTAGCTTCCACATTTTCTCATAAAAATAAACAAGTATTCGGAACCTGTATCAGCATGCAATTAGCCTTACCAAAACCCCACTACAAATCTGAAGATATATTATTTGCAAGAAATATATTGTTCTCTCTCTCTCTCTCTCTCTCTCTCTCTCTCTCTCTCTCTCTCTCCATGCAAATGTTATGCATCCGGAATCCAATAACAGAAGTAGCACATTTTCTTGTCTGTACCTGCTCAGAGATAAATATGAATTTCCCCTTATCTTGATCTCATTTTCAGGTAGAGAAGTTGCTAAATTAAACTCAGAGGTAGAACCTGCTGTGGAACGTTGGGAGATTAGAGATGTTAACCTTTGTGTCCTGCAGAAATTCTTCTGTGATAGCAAATTTTTACATTCCCTTTGAGTGCAAAGGTGCGCTTGAGATGGAATGTGTAGCATGTGCCCTTGCAAAAGGCAAGACTTAAACATGGCAGCTCACCCCTGGGATCAGGTTTCAATAGCACAACTAACTGCATTGTGAAGTACATGAAGTGACACAAAAAGGGGGAAGAGTCTCAGCATGAGCATTTGCTTTCCCCTCATTGTGCATAGTGCCCTAAAAGGGTATCAGGTTGGGATTGTGGAACAGGAATTACAGA